TACTGCCACACATCAAGAAGCCTCTCTTTCAAACTGTAGAAGCTTGTGTCAGCCATCTGAAATAGAAAATTATATTATGTAGTGGGGGGGGTGACAAAATCTTTGAATCACCCTGTAGTTTCACAGCAGTACTATAAATAACAATCATATATGTGCATACTATTTGCATATTTATTTACTTATTACATTTTGTGAACAGACTGCAATGTTGAGCCTGAGCCTAGTCAGTACGAAGATGGGTAACTGCTTGGGAATATCAGGTGCTATAAGCTTGAAAGTTTGAAGTTGCTGTAATAATGGTTCTGAATTGGAAATTGGAGAGTCAAGTTCCAATTTCGGTTGGATTTGCTATATTCACTTGCACATAAATACCCTTGAAAGGTATAAAGACACCTATTCTCCCCCAGCTATGGGTTAATTAGTAGGACTTGTATCAGTAAATATTCTTCAAAACCTTCTTCCAATCTAAAAATATTTTCTGACTTTAAATAACCTGAAAAACAAAACAAGCAAATATCTGTCTCTCTCTCTATATATCTATATCTATATATATATATATATATATATATATATATATATATATATAAAAATGCATGACAGTGGAAAAAATTTTTTTGTGACACGTTTGGTCCTTAGGACTTAATTAGACTAAATTTGTTAACTTGGTACCAACAAATTTAGTCTGAAGTTCCAAGGCCAAAACTTTGTCATATATATTTCCCTAATATTGTTCTTGATATATAAAAAATATATATTGTTATCTTCCTCCCTCTGTCTGTCTGTGTCTCTCTCTCTCTCATATATATATATATATATATATATATATATATATATATATATATAACTGAATCTAATGAATCTCTTAAATGTTCTAATGTTATCTCATTTTATTGTTTACTCAAATTGTGGATATCTTATCACTGAAGAAAAATGTTTGAGTCTACTGATATCCCTATCTATTTCTACAGTAAATATTTTGTTAGATATATTTACAATTTGAAACATACATGAAGTCAATATTATCCACATTGAATATCTTCCATTTCACCCCCACTTTATGTTACTAAAGTATTTTATACTTAAATACAACTTACAAAATGTTATTTATCAAACTTAGGGAAACTGTTAACCAGTACAAATAAAGAAAATTATTTATGTATAAGCTTTTTTTTTTTTTTTTTTTTTTTTATTCTGAAAAAAGAAGATTGTGAAATCTATGTTAAAAAGCTTAAACATAGCATTTTTTTAATTCTATTCAGAAAACTTGGTTGTGGATTTATTGCTTATTATATTAAAATGGATTATTTGTGTGGTGTGGGTGAAGTTAAACAATATTACTTAATATTTTTGATAAGACTATACAAAAGTGTTTGACAAAGTATGCTACAAGGAACTGTTGGAACTGATCAGCAATCTTGATATATTTGGGAAAGATATTAGAATAATCAAGAACCTATACTGGCAGCAAACGGCCTGCATGAAGATAGAGAATGAGTTCAACAGATATACAAAAATAGAAAGGGGCGTAAGGCAAGGATGTGTCTTCTCACTGGACTTATTAAATTTATACAGTGAGGTAATTCTGAGAGAAATGGAAATCCTGCTGGGATTCAGCATTGGTGGCCACAATCTTAACAACATAAGATATGCAGATGACACAGTACTGATAGCAGACATGGAAAAGAAATTACAAAACTTACTACAGAAGTTAGCGATGGAGAGTGAGAAGAAGGGTCTAAGCATAAACTACAAGAAGACAGAATGAATGATCATCAGTAAAAGGATAGACCTGAAATGCGATTTACATGTCAGCAACACTAAAAATCAAGCAGGTGCAGAAATTTAAATATCTGGGAAGTGTTATGATGGAAGACGGTAAATGCAATGCTTAGATCTGAAGACATATTGGAATGGCCAAGGATGCATTCCAAAAGCAGGGCTGAATATTGTGAGTCAGGAGGATTTCTTTGGTAATAAAGAAATGAGTACTGAGCTGCTATGTGACATCTATCCTCCTTTATGGCAGTGAATGTTGGACAATCTCCTCAAAGATGAAGAGACTCTAGGCAATGAAGATATTCTACAGCAGGATGCTAAGGATATCATGGACCGAGTGTATGAGCAATGATGAGGTTCTGGAGAGAATGCAAACAAGGAGGAAGCTTATACTTAACATCAGGAAGAGGAAGATGAAATTTCTAGGACATGTAATGAGAAAGAAGGGTCTGGAGAATCTGATACTCACAGGTCGAATAAAAGGAAAGAGAGACAAGGGAAATCAACGCATGACATACCTGGGAGGCTTAAGCAAGTGGATGACAGAACATGGTCTGGAGAAGGTGGCAGAAGGACAAAACTTATTGAGAGCTACAAGGGATAGGGAGAAGTGGAGAGCCATGATTGCCTACATCCTGAAGGGACGCAGCATATAAAGAAGATATGAGGCGATAACATTTTTACTTTTATCAGTAAATTATTTCCAAAACCTTCATCCAGCTAAAAATATTTTCTGGCTTTATATAACCTGCAAAAAAACAAATCAATCACCTAAAAATAGCTTTTTAAAACAATAAAAATTTCTGAGGGTGTATACACTAATAACATTAAGAAAAAGATGTACAAACTTTTAACATGGTTTTTTTTTTTTTTTTTATGGTTACATTTGTCAAACTTTGCTGTCTATGTATTAGATTATTCCAGTCCTAAATCCATTTGCAGCATGTAAAGCCTTTATTTATTTTTTTAATCATTTCACCTTAAGCAAGGGAATAAAGCCACTAAGATGCAACAGATTACTGGGTGTGGGAGGATATGAAAAAAATACTATTCAGGAGAGAGAATAATATAAGAACAAGTAAAAAGAGAGAAAATAACGATTAACATTGCATTTAAATTTTTAAAGATCAAAGTTGACTGGAAAGCAAGAAATCAGAAGAGATTTCCACAAGTGAGAAGTGCAATAGAAGAAATTTTTAGCATAAAACTTAGTTACATCTTGTCATTTCAACTGTAAAATGAAGATACTTTGTTGTCAATCTAGTACTGCACTTATATTCATTAAGTCCAGATACTATAGAGGAAAGCTCACTAGAACAATTACCATAAAATATTTGTAGAAAAGGTACAGGAAAACTTCATTATGGTAGTGGAAAAATGACTGAAACCAAAATGCCAGGTCAGGATCAGCAATATTGCAGATTTTTCTTTGCATTTTATCAAGCCTCTCTAAATATATAGCGATTTTCTAAGCGTAGCTTAGATGTGGCACAAGGCCGAATGTATGGGGCACCCAGTGAGAATCGAACTCACTATTCAGTCGTAATTGTTCTAGCGAGACAAGATTGCTAACCATTACACCGCCGCGAGGTGCCCCCTCTCTAAATATATAGCAGGAGCACAAGCCCATATGCAACCACAATGTTCACAATAGAAATGGCACATTTTGTATTTAAATTTACAATTTGTTATTAAATTGGCATTACAAAAAAGAAATTAGAGGAAAAATTCTAATGTTTAAAATTGCTTCAATGAAATTTACAAAATTTTAAAATATTTTTTTTTTCTATCCAACAAAATTTTAAAACAATAAAACAAAATAATCCTGATTTTTTTTTTTTTTTTTTTTTTTTTTATAAAGATATAATTTTTTCTATAAATTTTCATAAAGATATAATTATTCATGTTGACTTTCTACACTACCTTAAACAAAAGGTTTGGAAGGAAACTCCAATCAATAATGCTATTTAATGAATCTCAAACATTTTCAGTATAGAAATGGCTAATTTCACTCTTACGATATTGCTATCAATGAAATCTTGTTTAGATGAAAAAATTTTAAATATTAAAAAATTGGTGCAATGAAGAATTACGTACTTGAAAAATCTTTGTTTCTATACAAGAAAATTTTTTAAAATTCTTTTTCTTTGACAAAAGTCACTTGAAATTTTCCATGGCAGTGATTTGGGGGAGGAGGAATTTTATTTTTGTCTTAACATAGATTGAATATTTACTACCATCAATTTTTTTCATCATCTTTGCTACTTTGTATTAGATTATGATAAACACAAGATAAAAAGGAAAAGCTGTACAGTGTGTCCTATTGTATTTATTTTTAATGTCATATCCCTTCAAGACATAGGTGATAATGACTCTATGGATTTTTCTTTATCTATAAATTGCCATGAATTCATTAGGAAAAATAGTGGAGTAGTTTCTAATAGACTTTTCTAAATTCTAAGTATAGAATGTAGAATTCACTGTATTCTTTGGAGCAAATTAATTGTTCAGAATAAATTTTAGTCAATATTACAGATTGTTACAAATTGTATAAATGTTATAAAATGAAAATAAGATATATAATATTGTTTCCCATTCTTTTTTTTTCTTTTCTCAGGTGATACTAATGTTAATCCTAACAGATCCAGTATTATCAACTTTTCATGAAATTTACCGAACAAACAAACAAATCAGATATGGAAAATTTTACCTACACAGCACCTTCAATATTGAAGAACTTAACTTTCAGGTTTCTTTTAAACCATATAAGAAACCTTGATCATAGGAAACTTTAGGGATAATAATAAATCAAGGGAAGTTCTTGGTTATTTTGATAACATGAAAAAAAGAAGAAATGAGATCTCTTTGGAAATTCCTGCTGTTGCAAAGATAGAACAGTTCTTGTTTTGTCATGCCTTACTTCCAAAACTCATGACCAGTCTACTCAAGAATGAGACTTAATTGGCATGTCTTAACTTAGAAGTACTTTAAAATGGTTGTTGAAGATGTAGGTGACTAGAGAACAGTAACCTACATTGACTCTCATGCTGATCTCATCGTTAAAACTGGATTGGAAAGAAAAAAGAAAAAGTTAGTAAGGGCATAAAAACAAAAGAAAATGAAAAATGTTTTGTCTGACTGCTGTATTTCTGCATGGTCTGCAGGAATGGAAATGCCTTTAAAGTTTTAGGATTTTACAGGCATTTGGTCCAGTGAAGGAATGTATGTTTGACCGGTGCTATGCGGGTAATCTATTCACAATGATAGCCGTAATATTAGTATCACTCCTTGCTGGTGTGATACTAACCCTTGTTGTACAGTATATCTGGATTCGAAGCTGGTTCTCAAGCATACCTGAAGAGCCAATTCCAAAGAAACCACAGTTTGGAAAATTCTCATTTCCTCAGGTATGTTGAATAACATTTTTGTAAATTAATTTTTTTTTTTGCTTTTTTTGTTACTTACTTTTAAGAGTGGTGTATACAAACTTTTTTTTTATTTCGTGATTTGTTTTCTTTCTGTTTTTCTTATTTTCTTTCCGTCCGTGTTTTTTTTTCTTATTTTCTTTCCGTCTGTTTTTTTTTTTCTTATTTTCTTTCCGTCCGTTTTTTTTTTTTTTTTTTTTTTCCGTCCGTTTTTTTTTTTTTCTTTTCTTTCTGTCCATTTTTTTTTTTCTTATTTTTTTTTCCGTTTTTTTTTTTTCTTATTTTCTTTTGTATTGCTATTAAGACAGAAGGATTTTTGATTCTTGAAGTCTAATTAAATTCTGAGGATGGTTGTTACACTAAAAAAAATAATACAATCTATGTGAGGAAGATGTTTATACACAAAAAAATGTTAGTCACTACATACTATGGGAAATTGTTTCTGAAATTAATGGAATGCTGAAGCTTATCTCAGTATTTTGCAACCATTGCAGATTAAATTTATTTCATTCTTCAGTTGACTTTGTCATTTTCATTCACTCTTTTCAAAATCTGTTTTTTTTTTTTTTTTTTATGACTAAATCAAAACAAGTTAAATGAATCTTACCAAAACTCAAACATTTCACTTCTGATTTTACCATTTCTCTTTAATTTATTCTAAGTAAATTCTTTATTAATTCTTTGTATTATTTTCTTATATATATATATATATATATATATATATATATATATATATATATATTCAAACTTTATTTTGAGTAGATTCTGCATTTATTTTCAACAGTATTTTGTCCACCAGGTTCAAAAAACTTAAATTATTTTAAAGGCTACAGAGTAGAAATAATTATGGGTCAAAATGCAGTTATTTTATAGCTATTATGTAGGTTGTTAACTTTTAACACATCATTTATTATGGATTACTCAGGGAATTTTGTATTTATTCTTTAATATTTTCTGTTTATTATTAAATTTACTTAGTTGTAGTTTATGTTTATATATATATATATATATATATATATATATATATATATAATTACACAACAAATACAAAATTACCTCATGGATATAGTCTATTTGACTGTAGTACACTGTCTGGGTTGAATAAGACTGACGTACTTGGCAACAGCTGAAATAGACTATGCCCATGAGGTAATTTTGGATTTCTCTGTTGTGTAATTTATATGCTCTGTTATAATAAATACATTGGGCTCTTTTTGTGGATCACTTTTAATATTTTATATCATTAGGATCCACTTGGATTATATACCAATGGATTTATTACCTGTAAAATATATATATATATATATATATATATATACACACACATATATTTTAAATAAAAACAGACCACTTTAAGGTTCGATGTAATAAATTATTACCCACAGCCCTTTTAAAAGGACTGAGCTCTCTGGATTTTATCCTCCTTAGGTTTACCCATACGGATTACCTAGTTTTTCATAAACTATATATATATATGTGTATATAAATAAAAAGAAAGAACAGTAAGATATAAAATCCGGTGTTCTTATAGATATTTTTATTTTTACAAAATAGTGCTCAATGTAAATTTACAGTGCATTAATATTATAAATTAATTGATTTAAAATGTTTTTTTTCGCTACACAGTTCCAACCATGTTTCAAAAATAGAAGCTAAAAACCCCGAATTTAATTTTGCAATTAAATTAAAAGCATTAGTTCCATTTCATCTTCAAGCGAATTTTGGAGTAACTTTTAAACGTGACTTTAGCTGTGTCTTTAAAACCCAGTAATTTTTAAAAGTTACTCCAAAATTCGCTTGAAGATGAAATGGAACTAATGCTTTTAATTTAATTGCAAAATTAAATTCGGGTTTTTAATTTCTATTTTTGAAACATGGTTGAACTGTGTAACTTAAAAAACCATATTTTAAATCAATTAATTTATAATATATATATATAATAACCAGAGCATCTATTCCAATTTGAGTATCTACTAAAAATAATGTTTTTATATATATATATATATATATATATATATATATATATATATATATATATATATATATATAAAGAAAAAATAAAATACATTTACAAAACCTAACTTTCGATAATTAACACTCAAATAAGATAACATCAAGCCATGTAAAAAAAAACAAACTAACAAAAAGTAAAATAATGAGCAACTGAAGGCATATAAACAAATATTTCCTTCATCATTAATTAAAAAAAATTTAAAGAAGAAAAAAAGAAAAAATTAATACACCTATATTTTCAAAAACTTTAGAAAACCCCAGAATATTTATGAAGATTAGCCCAAGTACAAATTGTCACTGACACTAGAAACAACATAGTAGCATTATCTTTTGATACTCATGACTGAAAGATAAATAAAGTAAAGGAATAATGAAAAAGTATAAGGAGACAAAAATGTAAAGAAAAGAAGAAATAACCATATCATACACACACAAGAAAAATCAACTTAACACCAATAAAAAAAGCATATAAATTATTTTTTCTAACTTAATAAAAAATTCAGCAAATACAGACAATTGGTGATAATTCTTAATGAGTAGACTTAATAATTACACAAAGGTTTGTCTACAAAACTCTGGAATATATATGCTGAATATAACATTAATCAGCTAAGCCATTATTGTAATAGTTGTATTATTCCTATATATATATATATATACACACACACAAAAAAAATGTGTGTATATATATATATATATATATATATATATATATATATATATGTCAAAGTTTAAAAAAGGGTCATCTGTGCGGTCATGATGGGTGAATCTGAAAGTTATATAACAAAAAAAATCAAAATCTGAGTTACTTTTGAAAAGAGGTTAAATTGAGGTATGGTAGGGGTGCATTTTTCAACAAATGATGACATCCGTTCAACGCATGTTGCCTGGTCTTTATCAATGACAAAAAGTTTTTTGACACTTTTGTTTCACTGTTAAATTTGTAATTGTATACATAAAGATTTTTTCTAAAAGGATTGTTTGTATATGAGTACATCGTATTGAACTACAATTTTAAAATATTATTCCTAAATCTGATTACTAATGGACTATACTTTTAAAATAAATAAATGTAATAGAATTACTTAAACTGTTTAAAAATCATGATTAAATATCAAATATAAATATGTATATTTCATTTATCAGCTTTTTTTTTTTTTTTTTTTTTAAACATTATTTAAGGAAAATCTTTGACAATGTCAGCAAAGAATAGCTATTTCATAACATTGATTAAGTAAATTTTTATTTTTCATAAACCTAGTAATATATAGTTCCTCATGTATGCACAAAGGACATGGGTCATTTAATGACCTACATATTCTAGCTTTTCTTAATTTCCATTTCACAGTAGGTGTTTTATTTGTTTCTTTTAAGGGCCAGAAATATTTTGATAGGAACGTCTGATTTCAGTATTTATTTATCCTAAAAAAACTTTCAATTTGTTTGAACCATTTCTTGAATTCATGTCTTGTGCATCCAATGTAGACTTTTATGTTGTCTGGATCCTCAATAGATGAGATATTGCATTGGTACACTAATGATTCAATGTGATATTTATTATTAAGAGGACAGTTATGAGGATTTCTGCAGTTACATAATTTTTGTTTATCTTCATCTCTTTTTATTATTATACTGTCTAAATTTCTTTAGTCTTGGTCTAAGTGTTTATTCAAGATATTAGCATTATGTTTCTTAATAATTTTTTCTAAGCTTTCATTACAAAGTAACTCATATTTTGATACAATAGTTGTCAGTGAAAATGAATACCTTACCACAACTTGTCAAAATGATTGAATTTTGCTGTATCCTTAGAAACTAATACTATGAATGCATGTGCTTATAAAACTCAGTAAATTTCAAAATAAGTTATTCCAAAATTTGCTTGAAAATGAAACTGAACTAGGATCTTTAATTCAAGCTATAATTGAATTTGAGGTTTTTAGTTTGTTTTTGAAACATGATAATTCCTGTATAGTGATGGAACCCTATTTTTAAATTAGTAAATTTATAATATTTATGGTCTGTAGATTTGCACTGAGCACTGTTTTTTTTTTTTTTTAAATAATTAATAAGAACACTGGATTATATATCTTACTGTTCTTTCTCTTTATATTATATATATATATATATATATATATATATATATATATATATATATATATATATATAAAAATAATCTCACAAATACTTAAGTTATAGAAATTTTAAGCACCTACATAATTTAGATATATAGGTATAACACATACATAGGTTGTATTTTTATAACATTTTATAGGTATACCACTTTATTTGATCTGTAGATCTCTAACAACCCAACATACCCTATAATGGTTCATGGACCCTGATCATGAAGGGTTAGACACCACTGTCATGTTCTTGTATATTTAAAAAAAAAGTCTTAGTAGTTCTTGGTTAGTGCTGTTTAACTGGTTGGAGTTTGTTTCGTTTTTTTTTTTTTTTTTTTTTTTCTTCCCTTAGTTGATCTTGGGTTCTCTTCACTTGTTACACAGCCTCAAATCCAAAAGAGCAGATATTTATCCTGAGGCCCTGATCATCAAGGTTTGGGTACTACTGTCATATTTTTATATACCTGTATAGATTTCCTACAGAGTATGATAGTTTTCATTACAAAAACATCCAGTGATAGAACTTTCTTTCTAATACATTGTGTATCTTCACTGTGGGACTGTGGTAATTCTTTTCTCCAGGCTCCAGTATAAATTACAGATGTAAGAGAAAACACCAAGGAAATTACTAATTTTGATGATATATGGAGGAGTATATAACGTTACCCTCTACTTGTCTGAATGGCAATCTGAAGCAGTGATATTACTTTAATAGTATGATACTACTTTAATACTATTCTTCAAATAGTAGTCCTAGTTATGAATGTATATAAAGAACTTCCCTCTCTTTTTTTGTAGGTCCTGTTGTTAGGTCTTTTTCTTGAATTTAGGTAAAAAATCCACTTTTGCCATTTTTTCCTATTTATCCACCTTTGCCATTTTTACCGCTGCCATTTTTACCGAGCACACTTTTTCTTAGCAGCAATGGCATGGAATTTGACTGCAGTCAACAAGAAACTGGAAAGAAAGTACCCAAAGTATTTTGGTTGTCTATTTTTATTAAGAATCCACCCATTTCCAGCATTGATGAGTCAATAAAACCTAGTTGGAAACAGTCATCTACTAAATGACTCATTCCAGACTGAAATATAGGCCATCACACTAGCAATGCAATAACATAATTTTTGCAGATGCAGATTTTGTTTAACCCTGAAATGGTTTTTCAAAATTATCCCAGCTGGGTAAATTTTGAGGATGCACAGACCTGTCATCAATTCATCTTTTTGTGGGCATGTAAAACTGGGAACAGCTAAGTTTTACTGCTTTTTTTTTTTTCAGTTAAACTGTTCCAAGTTGCAATCATTTCAGGTCTCCCATTCATCTCATTTTGTAGGTATAAATCTATATTTTTTACCTCATTCTTGTTCTCAATATATCAAAGACCACTTGTTTATTTTCCCTATCTTCCATTGTCAACTCGATACTGCCTCAAATCACCATACAGCCATTACACAAATTTATAAATACTGAGCCAGTGAATTGGCCTTGTTATATAGGTAAAAATTGTGGCTTAGTATTTAATTTTTTTTTTTTTTTTTCAGTTTTTTGGTAGGATTAGAGAATTTCATAATTTGGTATCCCTTTAAATACCAAATTTAATAGAAAATGGTTATGAAAATGAGTTGAAAATAATACAGACTGGTTTGCTTACATGTTATATAATTTTTATTGTTTTTTAATCTCAGGATTTGTTGAAATCTTGTGGAGATGGGAATGGAAAATATGAAAAGGAGAGTTGCCGGTTTTTGAACTTAATATTCCAGTTTTTGTTCAAAGAATTACGGGATACTCGAGAAGTGCGAAGGTATGTCAATATTTCTTTAATTTTTTTTTTTTTTTTTGTGTGTGTGTGGAGGGGTAATTTTCATTACTTTTCAAATTTGAAATTTTCAAAAGTAAGTGATCTTTTTCCTTTACTGTTTCACTATTTATTACATAGTGGTTTCTTTCGGTTTTTTTTTTTTTTTTTTTTTACATAAAAAAATTTATTATATCTATAATCCTCAATTTTTTTTTTTTTTTTTTTTTGTTGTGTGTGGAGGGGTAATTTTCATTACTTTTCAAATTTGAAATTTTCAAAAAGTATTCCTTTAACTATTTATTACATAGTGGTTTCTTTCGGTTTTTTTTTTTTTTATTTTTTTTACATAAAAAATGAGCTTATGGCTATATCTATAATCCTCAAATATTCAAATGTAATGCCAATCAAAATCTGATGCCTTGATCCTGATCCCCATCCTTCTCTATATCCTTTTCTCAAACACCCCTCTTTACTCTTGCTCTCACTTTCTGTAACCCCCTGCATGCTAGTGGCACTCCAGCTTGCTTGGGGTGAAATGCTTAAAAAAAAAATATTACATTGAAACACAGGTTCATATATGATCACTGAAGTTAGGTAATGTCAAAACTGGTTAGTACTTAAATGGGTGACCACTTGTGAATACTAGTCATTGTAAGCTTGGATGCATGGATTGTGTAATAACTCCCTGGAAATGGAAATTGGAAAGTTGAGTTTCAATTCCAGTTGGGTTCATTATATTCTCTTACATGCAAATGACCTTGAGAGTGGTATGAATCCACTTCTTCTCCTCTCCCGGCTATGGATTAGTCAATAGGAAATCATTATCTCCCCAAAATCTATACAATCAATCATCTCCCCAAAATCTATACAATCTAAAAAAAATATACATTTTCTGACATTAAATGATCTGCAACAGGTTGATAAGCTGTAAAAAATAATCAATACACAAAAAAGCATTTAATCTTTGGAAATGTTATTTAGTAGTTTGAATTTTGAAGGTTTTTTTTTTTTTATTTTCTCTTAAAGATAAATCATGGCTCTCAACAACTTCCTATCTTTCATAGCTCTAAGTAATGTTTATCTCTATACTATTATTGTTGTCATCCATTTGCACAAGCTTGTTAGGTAGGTTACTTGATATTTCTTTTTTGCCTTCAATATGACCTGTGAGTGTCAAATTCTCAAAGTCCTCTTTCTTCATTATGTGTCCTATAAATTTCAGTTATTTGTTTTGATTCTAAGTGTCCTATTTTATTTCTATTTTTGTGAAAACTTCCTCATTGCTCACATGCTTCATCTTTGATATTCTCAGCATCCTTCTGTAGAAGCACTTTTCTGTTGCCTCAAGTCATAGTTTATTATTATTGGAAGTTGAACTCATTGAAGCTACAAAAATAATACATTTAATAATCTTTGGATTCTGGTATAATTTTCCTTGAAATTTATTGTAATTGAGGGCTTAAAGATGTTAGTATTTTTATTGTAATGGAGGGCTTGCAGATATTAGTATTTTTTCTAAATTTAACCAATGAAAACATGATTCATCATATACACTTATAACTTGTTGACTACTATTACAAGTTAACTTATGAATTGGGTCCATTAATAATTCCATGGCTTATGGTCATACCATGTTGAAACATTGGTTTCCATATGATCACCAAAGTTAAGTAGAGTTGAGCCTGGTCAGTACCTAGATGGGTGACCGTTTGGGATAACAGGTGCTATAAGCAGTGTAAAGCCTGGTCAGTACTTAAATGGGTCACTACTTGGGAATACCAGGTACTGTAAGCTTGGAAGTGTGGTGTAACGGATAATGACTCAGAATTGTTAATTGGAGAGCCATGTTCCAATTCCAGTTGGGTTTGTTATATTCACTTATGTGCAAATAGTTTTGAGATATGTATGAATCAACTTCTTCTCTCCCCCAGCTATTGGTTAATTAGTAATACTTGTATCACTAAAATTGTTTTCTTTAAAAAAATTCTTACAATTTAACCTGCTATATCTTGCAATGCCTATGAATTATTTATGCTCAAACACTGCAGAAAATATATTTTAACTTTGAAGTAAATTTCACAATTTCACTTACTTTGAATAACAGTTCTTTTATATAAATTGAATTATTGATTAATTTCTTTTCTATAGCTTATAAACCCTTTAAAGTCATACAATATACTTAAATAAAATGAGCAGCAAATCAGGTGAATGTTTTACTAAATAAGTTATTTTTTTTATTAAGTAAATATGGATTTAGTCACTAATAACTTAAATAACTTCTTACTTAAAACTGAATACTAATTTTTATTTTATCATTAAAATATTACTTGTTTTATTCTGTCCTTCTAAATGTGAACTTAGTTTATATTTCTAATATAAATCACTACTAAATCTTGTTTAAGTTAACTTTATCCTTCATAAACTGGGTTGAGGATTAAAATAGGTGTTGCTACAATGTTCTACTTGCTTTGTTTATAGTTCACTAGTAGCAGTGGATTTAACCACAGTTTTAGGTTTTAAAAATTAGATTGGATTAGTGCATTATCTCATTGTACACATGGAGTAGTAATAATAATAATATATATGAATTGGAATGAAAGCAGTGATGGTATGTACAATGAATCTCTATCTATAAAAGGCAGGATGTGTGTGTGTGTGTGTGTGTGTGTGTGTGTAACAAATGCACAGCTGCAATTTTTGATGGATTTGCACCAAAATTTACATGCACATGCTCCAAGTTAGCGGGAAGGCCAAGACCGACTTTGCATTTCCCAACTCCCATCAATAGTGGAAATAATTGATTTTTTTTCATGCTTCTACAGCAGTTTTCATGTACTTTGCGGCAATTTTGTATTGGCCAGAGTGAGAGCCGATAGCTGGCTGCCACAAATAGGCAGAAAGATTCTATTGGCCAGTGTGAGAGCCAACAGCTGACAGACACGAATGTTAACTAGCATGCTAGCATGCAAAAAAAAATCGATAGCTGCATTCATCACAAGTTGGAAAAATTTAAATCTGCATGGCACTTTACTCATTCGCTTGCTTAAACTCAACGTTGATTCTGATTCCGCAGAACTGGGTTGGGTGTGAAAAAGTATTTGGTGTTAACATTCTTTTTTCATTCGGTTTTTCCTGTTATGGGTCCTCTTTTTGTGTTCATTTTGTTTAGTTCTTTTTTCGTAACAGATTTAATGTTTAGTATAGAGCTTAGAAAAAATTTTCAGTATGAGATAGGCAAGAAGTAAGGCATGTAGCAACATCAGCACGACAAAGGGCACCCCTTTAAAGGCAAGGAAGTGCAAAAATATTTTAAGTCAAGTGATAGCAATTACTGTATGAGCCGTATGATTTTTTAATCAAGCACGGGCAACGCTGGGCCATGCTGCTAGTCTATCATAAAAATTAAAAATGTGGAATTAGTAAATACTAAACATTTCAAATAACTTGTAGGATCAGTAATAACAAAATTAGTAAAGACAATTTAGGAAATTGGACATAAAGGTTGCACAAGGGTTAGATTCACACAACAGTGCAAATTGCTATAGAAGTAAAACATTAACCAAAAAACTCATGTCCTGTTCTTAAATCGCCTTGTCAGATTGAAACTTTCATATAGTTGTTATGCGTGTTACTGAAATTGTCCAGAAATATCTTAACTGTCTGGTGTATATGACTGCTTTCTAAGATCAATGATTTAAAATTTCAAGCAAATGACGCCTGTAGTCCTTAGCAAGGACCATCCCTCTTCAAACATCATGGACTAGTGATACAGAATCACAAGTAACTAGAAATCACATCACTTCAGCAACAGGTAAAGGGGATAGCACATATAACTTGAAGATTTTGACATTCCCCACTACTTCAAACAAAAAGTTAGGAAGGAAGCACCCATTGATACTGGAAAGAGCAATAACAGGAACTAGACTTGAGAAACCTGTTTTCCTGAAAAATCATTTTAATAATAAAAAGTTATAAATTTCAACTAAAAACAGTACTGCTTGCTCAATCAATGAATGCTAAGTTTTGCCTTATAAGGAAATGTCTTTTATATATATATATATATATAGGATGCGATGGGTAAATTGTCGCCATTTTTTATATTTTTAATTTCATGCATGTGTGTTGTTTGTTTTTGATATTGTCGACTGCACAGTATAGTAGGGTCAGTTGGGCACCATCTGTGAAAAAAGAGCACCCTGACGCAATTCATTCAGCCAGAAAATTGGAAATGGCATGCTGTACTGCTTGGTATTCATACCAGAAGCACCAATACAAACATTTCAGAGTGTTTGGGTGTCAATCTAAGGACAGTGCAGAGGATTTAGAAAGTGTTGAATGAATCTAATGGTGATTACAAAGGTGTTTGGAGCGATCACTAGTGATGGCAATGTTATGCCTCCATTCATTTTCCCACGGGGCTTCAGAGTCAATATGGAGACCTACATCAAGTGTCTTGAGGAAGTAGTGCTGCTCTGGGTCAAGAGGGTGACATCTGGAAGACCCAGTGTCTGGCAACAAGACTCTGCACCATGCCATACAAGCAGGAAAGCCCAGTCATGGCTGTTAGACAATTTCTGTGACTACATCATACTTTACATCTGGCCACCTAACTAACCAGACTGCAACCGCCTTGATTATAATATGTGGAGCATAGCTGAGTGAGAGACCACCAAAACTACTTGTAACATCAAATATGAACTGAAGGTAAGGATTATGGCAGCATTCACCAACTTAAACAAGTAGACCATCCAGAAGAGTTGGAGGAGATTTTGCAGTTGTCTGAGGCCGTGATTGAAGCCAATGGCAATTTTATTGAATAAATTTACTCTTTAGTATTTCAAGATATTTTTGTGCAATTTTGGTAAATATATCTGTTAAAATGAGATGATAGTGTTTAATTTTTTTGCATAATTTAGACGACAATTTAAACATCATACACACACACATATATATATATATATATATATATATATGAAGATTGCATTCAAGCATGAAACACTCACCACTCGGAGAGTTTCCTGCTTTCCATACATGAATGCCAATGTAACTTGTTCATCCTTTGTTAGTTTTTTGGTTGTCTTTGTTAAAATTATTTCTGCAAAATAAGAAAATATCAATACAAATTAGACCTTTAAAACCTGATTAACTAATTAAATCTATGGTGTACAACTTTTGCCTCACCCTCTCTCTAACTTACACACACATACACACACACACACATATATATATATATATATATATATATATATATATATACTTACTTACTTTAATATACTTTAAACCAGTTAATTTATAACATTTATGGTCTGTAAATTTACATTGATCACTGTTTTATAAAAATATCAATAAGAACACCGGATTATATATTTTACTGTTCTTTCTTTATATATATAAATAAATAAATGTGGGAATGGGATTATTTTTAGTTTTTTAAATTTGGGGTGGGGAGAATGCCAAAAGTACAAAGGGAATGAAAGTGAAAGAAAAGACTGAGTATAGGGGGGATTGACAAAAGGACAAAAGATGAACAAGATTCAAGAAGTTGAGGTTGTGTTTAAATTTTTGAAGATTGTAGGTATCAGGGAAGCAAGTAAACGGTAGGGAGCTCCATTGACAGGAAGTGCAAGAAAAAAAACTGTTGGAGTAGAAGTAGTAATTGCATTTAATTATTTCAGCAGTAAACAGGTGGGACTTTGATGCCAATCTAGTAGTCTGGGCAGCAGGGAAAAAAAGCTTGTCAGCAGTTGCCATGAAAATATTTGTAGAAAAGACAAGGAAACCATACCACAAATATTGTGTGTTATTTACATTTGGACTATCTTCATTTTTGTTATTATCCTAATAAAACAGCTCTTGTGACTTCCAGCTCTCTTGAGGTGTTTACTGATTTGCTAAGCTTCAGGGAATTTCAAACTAAACCCTTTATTTAATCTGTAGTTTAGCTTGTTCTCACTCCACTGTCCATGTGTAAGGATATCTTGTTTTTATTTTTGTACTACAACAGTACTATTATTTTCAGTGAAACTACTGGTCCAGGGATTTGATTCATAATTAATATATTACCAAATTTTCAAACCAATACTTTAAACCACTTATGGGACATAGATCTGAAGGTAAATAATGTAAACTTTTCTTCACAGAAATGAAGACAGAAAGTTTGTAAATATAAATAGCCACTTTTACTTGTGAAAACTATTAGTAGATATAAAAAACTAAAGAGTAAATAATTGAGATAGATATCACTTTTATGCCCTATTTATCAGATACATATAAATAATTTACAATTATGTAAGTAGGTTTTATCTGATATCTTATGTGATAAATCTCTTGGACTGTAATTAAAACACTTTCATTGCTATTATATTTTATCTCTCCATTTATTGTATTAATGCTACAATTTTTATTAAATAATTTCATACATTTTCATTATTACTATAAACATTATATTTAGTAAGTACACTAGAAATCTTTTGCTTTTAACACTAAAAGTAATGTCAATCATTCTTCTTTTTTAAGAAAATGTGCATCCTAAAATGAACCTGTATTTTTTTTTTGTCAGAGTACTGTGACTAATTAAACCACAGGGATCAATCATGACAAAGCAAGATCCTATTATCCTATTTAAGAAATGCATGTCTCATGTTGGGACCTTTCAAAGTCTATATATGCTAACTTTTTCATATTCTAAATGTAAACATTTTAAGTAATTTTTAAGCAATTAATGGA